GATTTGTTTTCATTTTCTTCAGCTTTAATTTGAATTTGCATATCAGTAATTGATGGTCTGTTCCACAGCCTGCCCCTGGCCTTGTCTTCACTGATGATATGGAGCTTTTCCATCTTCTCTTTCCACAGATGTAGTCTATTTGATTTCTATGTGTTCCATAGGCTCCCCCATTTTGGGTAGCCAATGTCTAAGTTGCCCATCCCTGTCAACCCTGTGTACCAAAGGGGTGAGAGTGATCCTCCCTGTAAAGATTTGTTCCCTTTTTTGTGCTACTACATCCAAAAGCATAGGTAAAGTTCATCAAATTGTAGCAGTTATTCTTTTTTTTTGTTTTCCCCCTCTTCTTTCTTCTAGTCGAGTTGTGATCATCCAGCCATCGAAGCCAGGTCAAGTGGGTACTATCTGCAAGTATGGGTGTTCTTGTGCATCTCCCCTCACTTCACATCAGCTAGATGCTTCACTCCCCGTTCTAGTCCTCTGTGGCCATGTCACTGCCTCTGGGCCCAGGAGTCCCTGGGTCTTGCCATATTGCTGACCATCCAGGTCTCCACCTGGGTTCACAGGGGCCTTGAATGTGGTCGGGCTTAGCTCTCGCAACTTCGTTGCTGTTTTTTTCCCCTCTTCCCCTATCAGTGACCAACTTGGTCACCAGCCATGCCTACTCATATATTCCCCTTAAGTCTCAGTCTTGGAAGGGGGTTTGCTCTGAGGGGTCCCAACCACTTGCCTTGATGGCTCCCAGGCGAACAGCTTACTTGTTCTTGTAGTAATCAGTCAGACTGCCGTTATTGTTTTGGATTTTTCCTGCAGGTCTTTCTTTCACGGTGTATCTTCTGTTCTTCTAGCTGTTCCGGGCTGGTCTACTCATCCTTTCCAGTGGAAATTTCCTACCTCAGTCAGTTCTGGATTCCACCTATGGTCTTGTGCAATGTGAAGTCTCCACAGGAAGCCTCTTTCACTGGGCAACTTTTAGCCCCCCTTTAAGGTATTCCAATCAGTTATAGGCTGAAGACGGACTTCCAAGCTTTCTGTGGTGATGTTCTGGCTATTCCTTTCCCCACCCCCAAGCGTCTATTTTACAATGGTAGGCAAGGGAAACTGAAATTCAAAAGACTGCCAAGCATCTTAACATTATTTCCCTTTTTTACCCCTTCAAAGCATGCCTCAATGCCTGTATCCTGGAGCCCTGTTGTTCCAAGGTGGTGCATACATCATCATTTACCTCTGTCCCACTTAGCCCTTGTGAACCTGCCTAACTGTTCTCCCATCGGACTTATTATTCCATTCCCCTCCCCCTTCTTGTGTATTGCCCCCCTCCCTAGCACCCAAACTATCCCATCTATTTCCCTATCCTGTGCTCTATCTTCCCCTCCCTCCCTCCCTTCCTCTCATCCCATACATCCTGGTGATCAGCAAATATATATAATTTTTTCCGCCTTTTAGTGTGGGTTCTTTTTCTTACTCTTCTACAATAATGGTCCTATGCAAGATATCTCCTGTTGTGACTGACTAATGTCCTCAAGGTTCATTCATGTTATGTGGTGGCTTGCAGCTTCCTTGTGTTCTTCAAGGTAGCATAGTATTCTGTTGTGTGTATGTACCACAGTTTATCCATTCTTCAATTGATGGGCACTTAGGTTGTCTCCATCTTTTTGCTATTGTAAATAGTGCTATGAACATTGTTGTGCATATATCTACTCATGTTATGGCTCGTTTTTCTTGTGGGTAAATATCAAGTAGAGGAATTGCTGGATCATAAGGTATTTCTATTTCCAACCTTCTGAGGAAGCGCCATATTGCTTTCCAGAGTGGTTGGATCATTTTGCAATCCCAACAGTGTAAGAGGGTCCCAGTCTCTCTCTCTGCATCCTCGCCAGCATTTATTGTTCTCTACTTTATTTTGGCTGTTACTGCTGGTGTGAGATGATATCTCATTGTTGTTGTAATTTGCATCTCTCTAATGGCTAGTGATCGTGAACATTTCTTCATGTTTGTTGGCTGCCTGGATCTCTTCCTTGGTAAAGTGTCTGTTCATGTCCTGTGCCCATTTTTTAATTATTTGTCTTTTTCTTGTAGAGGTGTTGTAGTTTCCTGTACTATTTTAGAAATGAATCCTTTGTCTCATGTGTCATTGCAAAATATTTTTTCCCATTCTGTGGGTTCTTTTTACTCTTTTGGTGAAGTCTTTTTTTTTTTTTAATGGGCCAGATTTATTCAATTTGATTCCTTTTTGAATCAATTAGTTACATCCCATCTTTTTTAAATTTTTTTTTCTTCAGGCATATAAAATTTACATCTCCAAAGGGCACATTCTGCAAGTCTGATCCTGGCCACCAGTTCTTAGTCCTTCTCTTCTTAGTTGATGAATCTAGAATCCTCAGCCGCACCCCCTCTCCATGCCCCCATCTCTGCCTCCATCTCTGGCACTGCTGCTTCTCTGGATAAGGTCCCATATTCTATTTGTGCAGTCCTCTCTTGATGGTCCTAGGGTCCTCTATTTCTGGACTGTAAAATTAATCACTCCCCTTTCTTTGTTACAAACTTCTACCTTTACAAGTGTGACAGTCACTATTAGTCATGGTAACAGTTATTCACTATTGAATCTTATCCCCATCTCTTTTCACCAGACCCATCTAGACCAGATGATAGCTATTCAGTGGGGACTTTCTTTCCCCCAACCCTCTTAAACTAAACTCCCTTTAGAAACCTTGTAAGCCAGTCACTTCGTACCTTTACTGCCCCCTCATTTTAGGTTGTCAATGTCTAAGTTGCCCTTGGTGAAGTCTTTTTGATGCACGAAGTTTAAAATTTTTAGTATGTCCCACTCATCTATTTTGTCTATTTTTGTTTGTGTACTTTTCAAAATGTTTGGTAGTCTGTGTATTCCCTATATTAGAGCCCTCACATTTGTTCCTACTTTTTCATTGATGACTTTCATAATTTTGGGATTCACGTTTAGGTCTTTAATCCATGCTACGTTGGTTTTTGTATAGGGCGTGAGGTAAAGGTCTTGTTTCAATCTTTTGCATATCACTTTCCAGTTCTGCCAGCACTATCTGTTAGAGACTATCTCCTCCCATGTAACCTACCTAGGCACTTTGTTGAAAATCACTTGGCTCGATTCTGTTCCTTTGATCAGTGTGTCTTTCATTGTACCAGTACCAGACTGTTTTGACCACTGTAGTAGATTTTGAAATCAGGGAATAAGAGGTTTGCTTATCCTGGGTCTTCTTCCTTTCCATAGACTGACTTTGAAGGAGCATTCTGACTGTACTTCCTCCACATAGACTTGTTCTTCTGGCAGTACATGGTATTTGTTAATATTCTCCTCCAACATCAATTCTTCAACGTTTGTTGTTGTTGTTAAGTACAATCGAATCTATTCTGATCCATAGCAACCCTGTATTAAGTTTCCAAGGAGCAGCTAGCTGGTGAGCTTGAACCACCTACCTTGCAGTTCAAACAACCTTGCAGTCAGATGCGTTAACCCACAGCACCACACCAGGACTCTGATTTGGAGGCCACAAATTATGAATCCTGCCTTTGGTGGCCCAACAGGGGAGGAGCGGACCCTGCCATTGCCAGGCACCTGGACATGCCCCAGGCCTGTCAAACACCCACTGCACCCCACACTATCTGGTCACCATGGTGCCCTCAGGTAATGGGAGAGGGTGCCCCACCCACCATCTTCTGTGTCAACCTGGGCCATAATACCTCTCAGATTTTGTCAGATGTCCTAGCACAGACAGGTTCCCACCTGAAGCCAGGTAAGTGAGGGGTGTCTGCTGCACCTGCAGACCTGGGAACAAGATTTCAGGGACCAGCCTCTTCATGAAGTTCAGGGCACAGCAGGAGGAGCAGGGTATGGGATCCCAGGAGTCTTGTCTCTTCTGTGGGAAGACAAGCTAGGCCCCACCCATGCACCAGCCTCCCTGGTTAAGCGAACTGAGCCCAGCTAGCTCAAGGCTGAAGCAGTCCCAGGGTTTGTGCATAGGCCGGGCCTATGGCGTCCTCCAGATGCTGTGAATTGCTGCAACCAGAACTTGGCTGCTCAGCTGGTTTCTTTGGGTGTAGCTGTTGTCCATGAGCAGACCCTATAACCCACACCCCAGTGCTGTCCCATACCTGCCCTCCCATTTGTCCCAACTCTATTGTCCACTTCCTCTCTACTGTTCCCCCAGCCATAGTGCCCAGCAGTGGGACAAGGATTTAGAGGTGAGGGTATGCTTACTCCCAGAAGACCCCGCACAGCTACCTCCCTGCCACTTCCAGACCACCCAGGGGTCCTGGGCTTGAAGCCCAACATCCTGGTGTGACTCTCTTTGTCTCAGCTTCCTGCCCAATTGTTTGGTGTCCCCAGGAGCTGGAGTGGAGCTTGGGGGTAACTGCAGAAGCTAGGATGCCTATGCTCGGCAGTTTGTAGGGTGGGTGGGAGTCTAGAGTCTGCACCTACTGCTGCTCTCAGATCCTGTTCTCTAGCCTCACTGCCTCGCCTGTGGGCAGCAGGGATCCCTCCCTGCCCAGTATCGATCATACGTGCCCCACTCCCCAAAGTGGTCAGAGCACATCACATGGGGTGTCTCTTGTCAGGTCATTTATTGATGGGAGACGGAAGTGCTGGGACCAGGTTTCCAGGCTCAGGACAAGAGGTAAGGGATGGGTGCTAGTGAGAGGGACACATGGCACCCTTCAGTCCCACAATGCCGAAGCAGCCGTCCGGGCGTCAGGCCAGCCTCACGTGCTAGGGGCGTACTGCAGGACCAGCCGGTCAAAATCATTCTCCTTCAAAGACAGATGGAAAGAGAGAGTTAAGGCTAGGCAGCTGGAGAGCCAGGGGAGAGAGCGCATGAGCCAGCCAGGCCTGGGTTCTGGACTGGCCACTCACCTTGGCCTGGTACTCCCTGATGAACGGGTGGGACCTGTGGGAATCCTTCAGCTGGGACAGGTAGCGGTTTGTCACCTGTGGAGGAGTGGCAGCCAGGATTGGAAGGCCATTTCTCTACCACCTTCCCTCTGTTATCCTGGGAGCTCTTCACCCTCCCATGGAATGGGTGCATAGGGTGGAGGTACCCCCTGCTGCCTCCCCTCTGAGCAGGGACCCAGCTCTCCCCAAACCACAAGAGGCTCAAGGAAGTGGGCCAGCACCAAGACAGGAGGGAGTGGGAAGCATAAGACAAGAAAAGGACCACTTGGGGAAGGGAGATGCCTAGGGACTTGGACCCCAGCAGAGCCCTGGCTCCCAGCTCTGCCGTGATCTTGATGGCTAGGGGCTAGGGGTTCCTTGTCTGACTCTGCCTACCCAACTAGGAGGGTCTCATGGCCTAAGCCATCTGCCTCCTCTCCAGGGACCAGGGGTGAGTAGTGACCATCTGACCATCTGTCAAGCAGCCTGGCCAGCAGGTCACAATTTCTTAATTGATCAGATCTTGCCTCCACCCACAATGGCCTCCCTGAGGCTGCTGGGAAACATCTTCCCTGGGGAGGGGGCTCTGTCTGGACCACAAGCACACAGGCACCATTCCGTGCCCAGCCTCAGGCAGACGGCCTACCTCGGGAGGCTTGCCCAGGTGCTGCGACAGGACGATGAGGTTGATCAGTGTCTCCGGGTGGCCACTGTCCTGCAGATCCAATAAAGACATAGGTCAGGGATCTGACCCCAGATTCCTGTCCCTACCAGATCCAGGTACCACGCACTATCTCAAAGGGACTAATGTCCCCACTGCTCAAGTGGGTTATGGATGTACCCAAGGTAGCACTCTCAGAGACAGGCAAGCCAGGGACACCTTCCTCACCTCCAGATGTTTGGCCTGGACAGTCTGTCCCCCTCTGAGCCTCAGTTTCTCTACCCACAGACAAGGTCAAGGGCATAGTTCCAGGTTTCCTGCTTAAAATGCCAGTGTGGAAGGCAGGCCCTGATGGGCACAACACACGAGAGTGCTCACTGACCACGTAAACTTACCCCGTCCCGTACCCGTCCCCTACCCACCCCTGCCCTGGTACAAAGACCCACCCACTCCCCTAGGAAGCTGCCAGGAAATGACCAGACTCCTCCAGCAATGACCTCACCCATCCGCCCCCAGAGAGCCTGTAGCCTGCAGACCACTAAGAGACAACAGCACAAGCTGCAGGGACTGACCACAGAAAGTGTCTTGTACAAGGCCCAGCCCCGGAAGCCACTGAAGGCATGGGAGGGACACGGCTCTGGCACTCACAGACCCATGAGAGATGCCCCCAGAAGCATTTCAGGGACAAGGACAGGCTGGGGCATTTCACTGGCCAGTCCCCTAAAGGTCACTTGGAGCCATCACAAACTATGCATGTAAGTGGACATAGACACAGCCTCTGAGTATCCCATATTCACAGTAGGTGGGTGGGCAGGCTCCTCGCCACTGCCCACATCAGCCCACCTAGCAGTCTGGGACATGATGATGTGGAACACAGGGAGTCTAGGAGGGGACACAAATGCCCAGTGTGATGAGACAGCAACATGTATCAAAGATCAGCTTTAAGGGTGTCTGCCCTGACTGCTGGCCAGCTCCCGGTCCTGCCTGGCAAACCCCTCTGATAACACAGCCCATTGTAGAGACAGCAGGAGCAAGGCCCCACACTGTAGTGGGGTGTGATAATTAAAGTGTCTCCTAGGTGGAGTGGACTGGGGCATTTCTCCCAAGTATGAGAATGGTGTCAGTTTGTCCCAGACAACCAAAGTGGCCTGCCTGGCTCAGCTCTCTATAGGAACAGTCCCATGAAGCCTCCTGGCCCTGGTAACAAGCAGCCTTTTTCCAGAATCAAATCCAGACCCCAGGGCCGGCAGCTAAGGAGCAATGCCGAGAGTCAGCGTGGAGTCAGAGTGCAGGGTCGTGGGGAACAGGTGTCCTCCACTTGACTCAGGCCACTGAGGCTCCTGCTCCAAGCAGCCAGACCACGGTTTCCATCTGACACCTGAGATTCTTATGTGCTGGCAGCAGGGCCACCATCCTGGAACCATAGGCCGGCATGGGCACCTGCACCCTGTGGTCAGCACACGGCCACACTACTGCCCCCCTGTGGTCACTGTATGCACAGGGCACCGACACTGCCTCCTGTGTCATTTGGGCATGCCTATGTCCAGTAGTCACTGTATGGAAGCCCCATGCTTACAGCCACTGTCCCTGCCACCTTGACCCTGTCTGCCCAATGGCCGGTCCCCACTCTGAGGCCATCTAGGTGTGGACTGGAACAGCAGGGTTGGTGGCACCATAGTGAGCAGTTGGGGGCCAGCTACCTTGTCAAGTGCCTCGTGCAGGGCGCCCTCAGCATCCTCCCAGCGGCCCTGGGCCATGTGGCAGGCAGCCTGGCCGTTGAGCAGCAGCAGGGTGGATGAGCACTTGTCGGCCAGCTCCTGGAAGGCGTAGTAGGCGTCCTGCAGCTTCTCACCACCCTTCAGGACAGGGGCACATCAGCTACCTCCCTGGAAGAGGGCTCTGGGATTACCCCACCCACCAGGCCCCTCCAGAGACCCCTGTAGAAGCAAAGCAAAGGGAGTCTAAGGGCAAGTCCAGGAACAAGTCCGGAAACAGGCAGAGGGAAAGCCCAAAGACAGGTGAGAAGATAGGGAAGTTGCCTGGGGACAGCAGAGGATGGAGGAGGGACAGGGGAGGGGCAGGCCACAGCCATGCTGCCTGCCACCCCTCTCCCCGACCACAGCCGGGCCTCACCACAGCCAGGTTGACCCAGGCGGTGGCCAGCTGGGTGAGGGTGGCATCCTCGTCCTGGTCCTGCATCTTCTTCAGCTCCTTCCTGGGCAGAGGGGGCAAGGACACAGTTGCAGTTTTGGGAGTTCCCAGGCTGATGAGTTGTAGTCACACCAACTGCTCAGTCCTCCCTGTGGAGACCTCTCTGCCTGCAGTCCCCTGAGCTGAGAGTGGGGCTCCAACACCCACCAGGCCCTATGCAGCTCAGCGTACCCCAACGTGCTGGCCAGGCATGCCCACAGCCTTCTAGAAGCAGCCCATGGTTCTTGCCTAGGAACCAGCCCCGCAGCCAGGGCTGTAAAAGGCTGCCTGTAAGTCCACCCACGGCGTCGCCTCCCCAGCCCTGCAAAGGAGGAACAGTACTGGCCCTTGTCCCTGCCCAAGTCTCAAAGGCAGGTCAGGTGGAGGGAGCATCACCCCAACCCTGGGGAAACTGGCATGGGGGTTCCGTGTGGCCTGGCCACTATCTAGGCACCCTGCCAGCTGGGCCCACCCCAGAGCCTCGGGGACAGGAAGGCTCACCGGGCGAGGTCCAGGCGGTCCAGCTTCAGCAGGATCTGCACCACCATGGCTGAACTGGGGGACAGAGCGGGGTCAATGGGGGCTGGGTTGGCCCATAGAACCCCAACCTCCCACACACCATCAGAGGCTCTCAGAACATTCCGACATCGATCAGGTAGAACCAGATCTCACCCTGGAGACCCTGCAGTCAGTTGTCCCAGGTTCCCTGATGCCACTGGCCCGGCAGAGTGAGGGACCTGTCCACCTGTACTGTGTGGGGGGCTGAGCTGGCTCCGGTTGAGCCAGAGTGTGGCAGGTGCATTCTGAGTGGAAGGGACCTCATATCATAGCACGGGGCGCTGCTCACCACTCCAAGCTGTCGCCTTGGTGTAGTGTTCGCAGCGCGGCGTCTGGGTTCCCGTCATGCAGGTAGACGGAGGCGGCCATCAACAAGAAAGTGGTATTGGTCACATCCATGCTGCGGCTCATCTCCCGGTCCAGGTGTGCCACCACCACGTCCCTGCAAGACCAAAGGAGCTAGTCTCCAGGGTGTGAGGGCAAAGTCCTGATCAGAGCAGAGCAGGGAGCTTGTGCAGGACAGGGGTCTCTCTGGAATCTAAGCCCCTTGGGAGGCTGTGGGGGAGGCAGGACTGACAGTCCACTCAGGGGTGGTTAGGGGCCCAGAAGTGACACTGGCCTGGCCCAGCCCTCTGGACAGACCAGCCCTTACAAGTGCTATTCAGCCCCTGCACAGTGCCGTGTTGGCGCCTCACCTCTGGTCCTCACTGGAGAGGTACTCGGCGAGCATGCGCACAGCCTGAAGCTCCGGAGCTGAGGAAGGCTTGATCTCATCCAGCACCACGCCATACTTCCTCTGAGGGTGGGCACACACATGTCAGCACTGCCTCATCACATGCCCCAACCACCTGGGACCCCCCTAAGGGGGGGGCAGGGCTGGTGTCACCCTGCAAGGCAGTGAGGAAGCCAGCACCAGCCCGTTGGCCCCAGCTGAGGAGCTAATGATGCCACTCCAGCTGGGAGACCCCAGTGGCCACTGCACCTCCTCTGAGCACCCACCGTCTCAGACCCCATAGTGTGAGGCTGACACCCCGAGCAATGCTGCTGCCATTTCTGAGGGAACTAAGAGCCAGAGACCCACTTTCCTCAGGTTCTTTTCTGGACAACTGGTGTTTTCTCAGGACCACGGATGTTTGTTGGTTTCCGAAAAGCACATGGACACATCCAAATAGCGCACATGCCTGCACGCAACCCCATGTGAGCGCATATGTCCTTGCAGTGGGGAGGGGGCTGGCTAATGAATGTGGTCCTGTCAGACTGGAGAACATGCCACAGTCTGAGGGAGCTGCCACAGGACAGATATGGCTCCAGACAGTCCCATCAGCAGGAAGGGGGTGTGGTCACACGCATGCTATGTTGGTCTAGGCATAGGACAGCCTCGTCCCTGTGGTATTCTTAGCCTATAGCATGGCATGGCAGGCACCCCTAGGGTTCCAGGGAGACGGGGCCAGGAGCCTGGGGATCAGTGGACAGGGGGCCGGATGGGGTGAGGAGGGAGCTGTGCAGAGGCTAGTTTGGTTGGGATCCCAGAACAGGATGAATTCTGGTCACAGTGTGCTTACCTGTGCAAGGTATGCCCGGTACAGAAAGACATCGCGCTCCACGTCCCTCTCTGGGCTTGATGGCTGTGGGGACAGACATGGGTCAGACAGTGACCTCACCCCAGAGCAACCAAACAGCCACCAGGACCTACAGTGGGGGTGGGGGTGGGGCGGTGTCCAGGCTCCAAATGCAGGCTCGGGCTCTCCAGGGCCATGACCTTGTGCAGCACAAAAAGGGCCTCACAGGGGCCCCTGGGTACCAGGCACCTGCCTGATCCCACCTCTCCATGACCACTCAGGAAAAGGCAAAATGAGACACAGGTGCTCACAAAGCTATATGCTCACAGCTGCCAGGTGGGACCAGAGTCAGGTTGGAGTCTCCCCCTATCCAGCCCCACCCTGAACACTGTTCATCAGATGGGAGCAGCCGCCAGTGTGTCAAAGCAAACAGAAGATCCTGGATCATACGATTCACTCTGAGAGCATAAGACAGTGCACATCAACACCCTGCTTGTGGGAGCACCCTGGGTGGCTCCACTGAGCTACAGCAAGGAGACTGGGGAAGGTGTGTGAGGAAGAGCAGAAGCTGCTGGTGAGCACTTGGGAGACTTTTGATGTGTGGAAACAATAAAGGTACTTTTCCAGACAGATGCTCTTTGGCGCCCTCCACTGGGGAAGAGCCTGCCTATGTGCTTTTAGATACCTTTTCCTGGTGCCCTCCAAATAGGAGACCCCGCCATTTGCTCCTCAGTGCTTTGCTCAGAGAAGCAGCCTAGCCTCATGCTCAGTGCCCTCCCAATACCTTAAGAAAATGAGTTTTGGGGCCTGAGGCTCAGAACTACAGTCTTGGGGGACAACACCATAGTCAACTGGCATAACATAGTCCACAAAGACAATGTTATACATCCTACTTGTATGAGCAACGGCTGGGGTATTAAAAACTCATGAGGGACCCATCTAAGGTACAACTATTAGTACCTCAGTGCAGAGGAAAGAAGAGTGAGGAAAACTGAAATGTTTGGAAACAATTAGTCCAATGGACTAATGAACCAGGTGAACAATCTCAATGTTCCATTACCCTGAGACCAAAACAGCTAGATGGTACCCAGATACCACAGTCAACTGCTCTCAAAGAGAATCACATTAGAAGGTCCTCTGGATAGAGGGGGAGAAAACACAGAACAAAACCCAAATTAGTTAAACAAAAACAAAACAGGTCTACTGTTCAGAAAAATCTTGACAGCAGGAAGCCAAAACTATGGTCCTGAGTCTCCCTTTAGGTCTTGAACTGAACCCACCCTGATGATCAATTTTCAGTCAAGCAGTATATTGTTGTTGTTAAGTGCCATCAACTGGCTTCTGACTCAAAGCGACCCTGTATAGTGTTTTTGAGGAGTGGTTGGTGAGCTTGAACAACCAAGCTTGTGGTTCAAACTAACTTTGCAGTCTAGCACATTAACCCAGAGTGACACACCAGGACAAAGGATGACAATAACACTAGTGAGGTATGCACATCACAGAATGGTCACTGTTCAAGATCAAAAGGGCAGCATTTACCTAAGAACAAAGTTCAGGAGGGTTGGGAAAGAGGGAGGAAGGGAAACAAGAATTACAGGGAGGAAGTGGGCTAAGAGATGTTAACACAGACAGGACTGCAATCCCTGAGATGAAATGAAGTAAATGCTTTGTTGAATGTAAAATTGATGATCTGCTCTGTAAACCTTTGCTCGAGTCACAATAAAAGATAAAGCAGGGCAGGGCAATATTCTGTTCTGCTATACACGGGGTTGCCATGAGAGATACATGGGAAGGCAACTAACAACAATAAACAGCCAAGTTCATCCCCCCCACTCCCTTCACACTAGCTCGCCTTTGCCTGACTTCTGTTTCTTTACTTGTTTGCTGTCTGTCTCTTCGGCTAGACTGTGGTTTCCAACAGAAATAAGACTTTTGTCTATTTGTGCTACTTCTCCGAGTCCAGCAAGAACACATTCCCCGACCCATTCTGATCCTCGATGAGTACTCGAATGAATGAATAGATAAATAGACGAGTTTGGGCAGGAATAAAAGAGCTGGCAGTCAGAGTATTAACTGTGGGGAGCGACCCTCTCTGATCAGAGTGCTCGGCTTTAAGTTAAACAACAGTCTCTCCCTCACGATTACTGACGGCGGGCACAGTGTGGGTTCAAGAAAAGAGACGCGCCATCATTAATACCAAAGTGGAATAAACACCTCCCTCACTCGAATGCCTCCCAGGATGACAGAATGAGAGCTCTAAGAACATGAGTTGTCACAGCTTTATATTTTTTAGTTTTGTTGTTGTTGTTAAGTACCGTGGAGTCGGTTCCGAGGCTGTAAATCTTTACGGGAGCAAATAAGCCATAGGAATTCCTCAACGCGCTTTAAACAGGTGTGTGGAGGGAATACACTGTGAGAAAGGGAATACTTAGAAACAGTTGAGCCCGGTCACCAGGAAACGGTGGTCGCTGCCACCCTGAAATCCTCCTTCACCCATCCCACCCAACAGCGAGGCCGCACCTTCACTCGCTGCGCCTCGTTGATGCATTGTTGGTAGCTGCCGATGTAAAAGGCGTTCTTCACATCGAACAGTTCGTCCACCTCGCCGGGGCCGCCGGGGACTGGAGGGGCCATGTTGCAGTTCTCTCACCCGTTTCTCTTTCCGGAGGGACACGTCGGTAGGAAGCAGGACCCGCCGCGAAGCACGCTGGGAAATGTAGTTTACGCGTTCGAGTAACAGACCGATAAACCAATGGGAGACTCGTAGAGAGTGAAAAGGAAAAGGGGTACGAAGGCGTTATCACGCAAAGCATCGTGAAAGTAGTAGTTTGATTCTAACCTGCAAAACAATGGGATTAGGAAGAAAGTAGTAAGGCAAAGATCGAAGCCGAGAATAACTGAGCGAACTAGTCACTCCGAGGAAATAGCGGCATCACACAGAAGGCGGGCCTAATGAACAGAAAGGCTTCCGTAACGTCATCGGCGCGCGCCGGAAGTGCAGCGTACACATCCTGGAGGCTGTTGGCGAGGATGGCTAGCTTCGGTGAGCTCGGGTTGTCATCGTGGCTCGTGGAACAATGTCGGCAGCTGGGTTTGAAGCAGCCTACGCCCGTTCAGCTCGGCTGCATCCCCGCCATCCTGGAGGGTGAGTGTGTTGGCCACCTAACCAGGAGGTATCTCCGCTACTCTGTCTCCTTTTCCTTCTCTCAACGTTTGCCCACGCAGGTCCCGCGAGATAAGGGATAGCCCTGGTCTCCGGAGGCAAACAAGGAGGTGTTGGCGTTCAGGCTGCGTGGCTGACTAGCTGTGTGCCCGCGGACATGCGAAGTAACCTCCGGGAGGGTGGAGGCACGCCTAAACGACGGTGCCATGGTGTGGCGCTGTAGAATAAGCACTCGACCGCAAAGTCGTTTTGAACCACAGGTCTGAGGTTCAAACTCATCAGCCACTCTTCAGAAACCCTGTACTGGGTCACTCTGAGTCGGAGCTTACTTAATGGCACTTAACAATAAATGGAAAAGCAGAGCTGGTACGACTCTCTTCATCTTCCAAAGGAGGAGTGTGAGGCGGTTAAAATGACTGAAAAATCTAGGGATTGGTAGTCCTGTGACTGCTCTTCATCCTGTTCTGTTGGCTCAACACAGTTTTGCCGTTAAAGAGATGTTCAGAGAACGTCAGCATTTTACTACTTTCAGATCTATCTTTTTATTCAGTAATAAGCTAAAAGGTATTGGGAGCTGCAGGTGCAGGCCTTGAGTTTGATTTGGGGGACATCACAGAGACCAAATAGACCAAAGTCCCTGCCTTTAGGAAGTTTAGATGGAGTGTGACAAGTTGAGAGATTGAATGGGGGGGAGGGGGGAGAAATGAAAGGATCAGCAAGTATCATAAAATGCAGATTGGAAGAGGGAATCCCAGGTGTGGGAGGGAGTCTGAAAGAGGTGGTAGTTAGCAGCACAGTGTCTGGTCAGCTAGATGTAGATTCTGCTCCAACCCTACTAACGAGCTGTGTGTCCTAGGCAAATCTCCAAGACTCAGTTTTCCCTTCTGTTAAATGGGCATGGTAATAATCCTCGCCCTTGTAGAGTTATTGTTAGTATGATTTGAATGTAGACACATAGACCAGGGGCTACTCGTTCAGTGTTCAGGGGGAAAAAGTTGCTGTTGAGTTGACAGTGACTCATGGTGACCAGTGTGTCCGAGGATTTTTCAGAAGTAGGTGCCAGGCCTTCTTCCCAGATGCCTCTATCTAGGTGGACTCAAAAATCACCAATATGTTGGTGAGCAGCTGAGTTCATTCACGTTTGGCACTGCCAAAAGGCTCCCATTTAGTGTGAGCTGTTGTAAATTGTGCCCGAGAACACCGTTTGTCTCCTTTCTGAGGTATTGATGCCAATTTGTCCTCTCGCAGGTCGGGACTGCCTGGGCTGCGCCAAAACTGGCAGTGGCAAGACAGCAGCGTTTGTCCTACCCATCTTGCAGAAGCTCTCTGAGGACCCCTATGGCATCTTCTGCCTTGTCCTGACACCCACCAGGTGAGCACCCTGGGTGTGAGTTAACCAGCCACATTCTCTCAGGCACATGCTTGTACCACTCTGAGCCACATTTTCCTGTGTGTGAATTGGGGACAGAAACCAAGCCCACCTCTTAGGAAAGCTGTAGAAGGAGATGCCGAGAGTGCCACTGCAGGGCTAGGGCAGGGTGATGCCCCGCTGGACAGGGCTGTCCATTCTTAGAGCCCAGGGAGTAAACAGGTCAACTTGCTTCAGGGAACCTACGACTTTGGCAGACAAGTATGATGAGGGCCTGGCCCCACTGGATGTCTCCTTTTGACTGGGGAGAGAAGTCAAGAAAGGCTTCATTGAAGGGTGCTTTAATAGATGAAAAGGGTCTGTCAAAGAAACAAATGCGGGAAATACATTCTAGAGCAGAGACTGACTAGGGCGCATGTGCAGTGGCATGAGAAAGGTAGGGAACTGAAAGGGTAGTTGGGCACCAGGCATGCTAAGCCAGCTCAAGGACCTCAGGTGCCAGGCTGAGGGTTTAGAGCGGGCTCTGAGGGTATGTGAGTAGTAGCAGGAAAGGTGGATTCTGGGAGGGGGCCAGGGATAGGGGACCTGGGCATGCTGGGCTCTGGGGACAGAGAAGAGGAAACCTGGGAACTGACCAGCCCTGCTCAGGTCTTTGGCTCAGATGAGTGGATGTCAAGGCCATTGTGGAGAAGGTGACATGAAGATGGTACAGGTTTGGGTGAGATTGAGGGAAGGGGCTGTAGGCTATTCAGGGGCCTTAGATCATGGGGTGATCAGAGGGTGAGTTGGGAGGCCAGGGGTCCTGGGGGGATCTCTGGGGTAGAGAGAGGTAGGGACAGAAGGCAAGGACAGGACCTCTGCTGATCCACCTAATCCCTCACATCCACAGGGAACTGGCCTACCAGATCGCTGAGCAATTCCGGGTCCTGGGAAAGCCTCTGGGTTTGAAAGACTGCATCATTGTCGGCGGCATGGGTACGGGGGCCAGGGAGGCTCTGGCACAAGACCCCACAGTTCTTCCCAAACCCCAGACCCCCTCCCAATCCCCTCCGTCCTCTACCCGCAGACATGGTGACTCAGGCGCTGGAGCTGTCTCGGAAGCCACATGTGGTCATCGCCACACCAGGCCGCCTGGCTGACCACCTCCGAAGCTCTAGCACTTTCAGCATCAAGAAGATCCGATTTCTGGTGAGTCGGCCCCACCACCCTTGAGCATGGGGCTGGACAAAAATCCTATAAAACCATAGGAACACAAGGCCCCTCCAGGCCCAGTGAAAACGAGAAGTGTTGTTGCTGTTGAGTACCATAGAGTCGATTCCAACTTATAGCAACCCTGTATCGGATTTCCATATAGCAGCGGGTGGATTTGAACTGCCAGCTGTGTGGTTAGCAGTCCAGTGCTGATCCTACAGCGGCACCCAGGACTCTGGGGGCAGGAGCGGTGGTGCTGGCAATGTGAGATGGAATGGGCTGGGGGTGGCTGAGCCTCAGCAGCCTCTTCACAGGTGCTGGACGAGGCAGACCGCTTACTGGAACAGGGCTGCACGGATTTCACCACAGACCTGGAGGCCATCTTGGGGGCGGTGCCAACCCACAGGCAGACACTGCTGTTTAGCGCCACACTGACTGACACACTTCGTGAACTACAGGGCCTGGCCACCAACCAACCCTTCTTCTGGGAGGCACAGGCACCGTGAGTCCCAGCAGGTGGGCTGGAGTGGGCCTCAGTCTCCAGGCAGAAGGAGAGACTGAGGCCTGCTGCCCCATGCCCTGCCCCCGTCCTGCTCCAGGGTCCGCACCGTGGAACAGCTGGAACAACGCTATCTGTTGGTTCCTGAGAAGGTGAAAGATGCCTACCTGGTGCACCTGATCCAGGGCCTTCAGGACGAGCACGAGGACTGGTCCATCATCATATTCACCAATACTTGCAAGTGAGTGCAGCTAACCAAGAGGTTGGAGGTGTGAGTCCATCCCAAGGTGACTTGCTTCCAGAAGATGAGGCACTGACTAGCCTGTGGAGCCCAGTTCCACACCGACACACATGGGTTGCCCAGAGTCAAAAGGATTGACTTGACAGCAATTGGACAGTGTTTGATTTGGTCGTCCTGGATTCTCTTGCTTCGTCCTGAGCCGTTGGTTGTCTGGGACCCCTTAGAGCAGCTAGGGACAGCTTAGGCCAGCCACTTGCTATAGCCTACAGGTGTCACAATCCTTGCTAGGCCTCCCAGGTCTATCTTGGGAATTGTGATGGTCCCCATGACACAGGAGACCCGTCTCATAAAGTTCCCTTTAATTAGGTGCTTGGAGTAGAGGACTAGGGGGTCTTATCAGGAACCTGTGGACTAGTTCCACAGAAGGGCTGTGTCACACTGGGGAAGCTGTGATGTGCTCATGACCCTCCTTAGGGGCTGTTCCCAAAGTGAAAACATCAGGTCTCCAGAACTGAGACGTCTGGGTGTAAGGCAGCTGTCGGGCACAGCAGGAGCTAGCCGTCTACAAGTTGTTACCATCAGTTGTCTCTCTACCCTGCTGCTCTCCCTGTGACAGTGACCATGCCCAGCCCCCCTGCCCCACAAGCCCTGCACAGCTTGCATCTCCGAGCAGCAGTCCCAGGATGACTGAGGCCTGTCTGGGACCTGGGGGCAGGTCTCCATGGGTAGGGTAGGAGGTATTGACGGGAACCTTCTTCCCCACCAGGACCTGCCAGATCCTGTGTATGATGCTGCGCAAGTTCAACTTCCCCACCGTGGCGCTGCACTCGATGATGAAACAGGTGTGACGTCAGGTCTGACTGGCCTGGCCTTCTTGTCAGCCCCGTGTGGGCAGGCTGTCCCGTCCTCACATAAGATGTGCCCACGCTTTGCTGAGAGGTTTCTTGACCCCCACTTTTGTCGTACTGGTACAGAAAGAACGTTTTGCCGCCCTCGCCAAGTTCAAGTCCAGCATCTACCGGATACTGATTGCAACGGATGTGGCATCTCGGTGAGTGACCTGGAACCTGGCTCTGCCCCTGCCCAGGGGGCTTCCTCAGTTCAGTATCCACTGTGTACTTAGCTGCCTGGTTCCTCTCTGCAGAGGCCTGGACATTCCCACAGTACAGGTGGTCATCAACCACAACACCCCTGGGCTCCCCAAGATCTATATCCACCGTGTTGGCCGCACAGCCCGTGCAGGTGAGCCCCAGCCCCACCTCTCCTGTCACGTCTCCCACCTCCTCGCCCATCACAGCCATGAGTTTCTGAGCCACTGCCAGCGTGATGCTGCTGTGGAGGGCTTAGCATCCAGGTTTAGGCCCCTAGCCCCAACTCTGTGATCCATATCTCCAGGAGACAGTCATTTGTCTGTTCCCCAGACCCCTACGGAGGGGCACGGGTGTTCCAGGAGATTGTCTCATGAAAACAGGGCGATTTCTGTTTTCTGAGGTCAGACATGGCCCAGCTCCTTATCCTGAGCGATGGAGAATGGAGTCCCCTCCAAGTCACATAGTTAAACCCCACAAAATAGTTCTTTTGCGGTCAGTGCTGTTCCAAAGCTAGTTGCCACCCATAGAAATGAGGTGTGACGACATTGAGCAGACTTCCAGGCCGAGGCACTCAGGGCTTATCGCTAACAAAACTTCACCTGGATTCTCGGGCAGCAGCACCAGAAAGGGAAACCAGTGTGTTGACAGCTGATTGTAGGATTGCAGGCTGGGCAGGCAGGAGAGCTGCTACCCTGGGACAGACTTGGCACCAAGAGGTCAAGCTGGAGGGTGACCCCTTACTCTAGACTTGTCTCACTGCTCCCCTCCTCTCTGAGATGCCCAGCACTGGGGCTCTGTCTTATGCTTGCCCGTGCCTCAGTCCCAGCACACAGCAAGTGATGGACTGTGGTGCCTCCTCAGGGCGACAGGGCATGGCCATCACGCTAGTGACGCAGTATGACATCCATCTGGTCCACGCCATCGAGGAACAGATCAGTGAGTAGAGCTGGGGCAAGCGGGTGGCTGACCCATCACACCAACATCCCTCCCTGAGCTCCTCTGACCCCAGTCTCTCCCACCTGGCCTGTGTTTGATGGCCTCCAAGGCCTTGCATGCCTCACCACACAGGGAGCTCACTCCCGCTGGGGCCCGCCCCTGTTGTGCCCTCTAGAGAAGAAGCTGGACGAGTTCTCAGTGGAGGAGGCGGAGGTGCTGCAGATCCTCACGCAGGTCAATGTGGTGCGGCGGGAATGCGAGATTGTGAGTTAGGGTTCTGGCAGGTGGGCGGGGGACTGGTCCTTCGAGTGGGCCCCTGTGACCAGCCTCTCCCTCTCCCAGAAACTAGAAGCGACCAATTTTGATGAAAAGAAAGAGATCAACAAGCGGAAACAGCTGATTCTGGAGGGAAAGGTGAGCCCACATGGCACGTAGAGGTCAGGGTTCCCAGTCCTACGCAGTTCCCCCACTCACCATCACCTCTGGTCCCCCACTTTCAGGACCCGGACCTAGAGGCAAAGCGCAAGGCAGAGCTGGCCAAGATCAGGCAGAAAAATCGGCGCTTCAAGGACAAAGTGGAACAGACACTACAGCGGCACAAGGCCAGCAGGGGGCACCCAGCCAGAGCCCAGCCGGGGACCCACACAGCACTGTCCAACCAGGGTCCAAGCTGAGGGTCTTAAGAGACCTGTCCAGGCACCCAGAACTGTCTCCCCTGGGCACAGCTGTTCTCTCAGACTTGCCAGTCCCCTTCAGGAACCATTCTGAGCGGACAGCCCATGGCCTCTGTCCTGCAGCATCAGACCAGCCCACACACAGATCTGAGGTCAGACCAGATATCCCACATATCGGTGACCTCAACCCAGGGGTCCCATCTGGCCTCAGTTTCTCCCTTTGTTTTCAGTGGGGTTCATCTCACCTCACTGCGAGGTGGGGGGTTGTGAGCCTCTAGAACAATACATGTCCCATGCAGGAGGTGTTCAATAAATATGCCTTTGACTATTCCTGTTCTGATTCTTTGGATTTGGGGACAGGGAAGAGGATGTGGTCATCTGTATATGTCAAGTCCCCAGAATGTTCTGGGCCAAAGCCACTGTACTGGTCATTCTGCTGCCAGACTTCAGGCCGGTGGTGCCCCCTCCTTGGACATCAGTTTCCTTCACCATAAAGTGGATCTAACAACAGTGCCATTGTGAGGTTTCAGTGAGCAATCCTGAGGAGAACCAGCTGGTGCCCCATGGACTGTGTTTTAGCAGCTTCCATGACAGTCAACCTGAATTATCTGGGAGTTGTGGCATGTGAACACCAGCGTGTTCTCTAGGCAAGGAGACTTAATTCTACACTGAGGAAGCCATCCCCTCAGCCTGGACTTGGCAGAAACCACAATTAAGGACAAACAAGGGCTGAGCCCAAGGGGACAGGGTTGTGGAGCCACAAAGGTCCTCTATAGCGCCCCGCTTTTAGCCTGCAGAGAGGCTGCCTGAGCACCACACAACAGGGTCGCAAAGAGAATGAGAGACAGGGGAAATGACAGCAATTAAATCCCCACACACCACAGACACGCAGCCACGCTTGGAAATGTAATCAGGGTGCCAGCATTCACCCCAGGATTCTAGAAACTACACAATGAAAAGCTCAAAAAAAATCCCAAGTGAGAGAGAACAAGGCAGAGCTGGGACCCCCCAGTTCCTGCCAAGGCAATCAGGCCCAACTGCTGTCTGCGGCCCAGACCACACTGCGGGAATCATTCCATAGTGAACCAGCCCCGCTGGCCCCCAGCAGCCGGTTCAGGAGGTGCCATCAGCCAGGCGGGCCAGGCCCTCACGCAGCTCACTCAGCTCGAACAACTTGACGTCCAGCAGTTGTGTGGCCCGTACCACCTCAGCCCGTGCCCGCTCACGATCAGCCCGTGCCTCCTCCAGGCTGTGCTCAGATACCCGCAGCTGGTGTTCCAGCTCCGAATTCCGGGTCTCCAGGTCCTGTGGGGATAGGGTACACAGTGGGGCCTCTTCCTCATCCCCACAGACCTTTCCCTTCCTCTTTGTTCCTCCCAATTCTGCCTCCATACTCCTCTGCTTTCTGGGCTTGTATCTACCCTAGGGACTTTTGCACATGTTCTCTCTACCCAGAAGACAACAGGCAGGGGTTTCTTCACCGTTTCTTCCCCAGAACATTTGGGAGGACATGAACCTTTACTAGGCTAGGCTCACATATGTACCACCTGGATATCGCTAGAGGAATGTTTAGAGGAAAGTCAGTTGTTAGCTGCCATCAATCAAGTCAGTCTCTGACTCGGTGACTCTGTGTGCAGAGTAGAACTGTCCCTTGTGTTTCTAGGAACTAATCTTTACGGAAGTTGACTTCCAGTACTTCCGCAGCACTGCTGGGTGGGTTTGAACTTCCAACTTTTGGGTTAGTGTCAAACACCAACTACTTGTGCCACCTGGGCTCCTTACGCTGGCAAGACCTGAGATCAAATGATCTCAGCCTGGAGACTTAAGGATTTGATGGAGTTGCCTATACACCTCCACCTGCTGCACCCCACACACCTGCACCTTCTGCTGCGTCTCCTCGCGCTCAGCTGTGTCCGCGGTCTCTCGAGATCCGCCTGTCTGGCTCTTCAGTGTCTGGATCTCCTGGATGGAAGGGGTCACTTGGTTGGCTCTGAGGTCCTGGCTCCCCTGGGGGAGCTTAGAGAATCAGAGGCCAGGAGACACTCACCTGGTCCTTAGTTAGTACTAAAGCTTCCAACTGCTCCAATGACTGCCCAGGTTCCTTCTCGCCAACCACAGGCGGCTCTGCCGCTGCCTGGGCCTCCAGCTCAGCCACCTGTGCAGACCAAAGCTAAGCCTGGAAAGTTCCAAGGTGCCCCAGTTCCCTGAGCCCTGAGGCTACCTCTCCCTGTGTACCCCACTGGTTGGTGCCACCATCTCCCACCTCTGCATGTTCAGACTGTGGGGTCTGATCATTTATCCAGATAGGAGTTGCCTGAAACCCATTTGATAGAAACTGAGGTTCGAGAAGGTGACCTGTCCCCGCCCATACGGATAGCCCACAGATCCCCGGGATTAGAAGAGCTTCTGGGAGGAGTGAAGCCCTCACCCGCTGTCGCAGCCGCTCAGCCTCCTCACGCTGGGCCTCCAGCTGCTGTCTCCACTGCGTTGCCGCTGCGTTGGCCTCTCGCAGGGCACCCGCCAGTTTGTTGTTGCTGTCCTGCAGCGCGAAGAATTCGGCCTCCCACTGCACCTCGCCCACGGAGCTGTGGGGATGCGGAGAAACTGTTGGTGAGGGTGGGATACCGGGGCGAGGCCTAGATTGGGGTCCTGAGAGGAGGAGCAGGCGCCACGCTGGGGTCACAGCAGGCTGAGACTTGAGGCGGGATCAGGGAGGCGCAGTACTGAGGTCAGGACTGGGACACTCAATGAAGACGTGGTCAGATGGGGGTTAAGATATAGCTAGGCATCCAGCCTAGGTAGGCGTAGATGGGACAGGGCGGGGTTAGGCACGAAAAGTCAACAGGTGGTGTGGTCAGAGCAGGAGATAATCGGATATGGGGATGGATTGGCTTCGGGTCCAGAGTCAGATCTTGCGGTCTGCCGCCCTCTGAAGTGCCCCGCAACTCGCCACGCCCCTCACGTCGGCCACGCCCGGCCACGCCCGCTTCCTTCTATTCTTACCACTTCACCTGACCTATGCCCCACCCTCTGAAACTCACGTCTTCTTTAGCCTCGCCCCTTCATCTGGCCCCGCCAACGGGCCACAGCCAGCCCTCTAGCCCCGCCCATGCCCCCCTCACCCTTCGGACAGCATCTTCTTGAGCCGCTCGCGTTCTGCTGGGCCGGGGGCGTCTGCGCTCTGACTGCGGAACAGCTTTTCGTCGCTGGGGGGTCCATTGGCGCTGACGAGGGGACTTGGTGGTACCTGCAGGAGGGGGCGGGGTCACGATGAGGAGTGGTTTCAATCTGATCAAGGATGGGTTACAGGGGCCTTGCTGATTGAGATCCAGCCCATGTCCCTGGAGTAGTGACTGAGGTACCGCAGATGTGTGGGAACCAGCCGATCCTCCCCAGCTCTGGGAAAAGAACATGCTCCTCCTTTCTAACCCCACTCTCTGTGGCTTCCATGGTTTCTGAGCAGCCTGGGCTCTCGGCAACTCCCCTCCCTCCCTGGAGGCAAATCTGAGATAACCAAAGTCCACTGAAATGGTCACAATTTGCAGTGGGGGAGTGGTCTGAAACCACCATGCTGTTCCCTCATAGTGATGCCCTTCCCTGTAGCCAGAGTCCACATCTCATTTAAGAAACTCAAGAAACCCTAAACCACAAGCTCCCTGATGGGGCTGGCAGCCTAGGCTAGCAGATGTTATTGTTGTTAAGTGCCGATTCCGACCCAAAGTGACCCTGTATAGGGTTTCCAAGGAGCAGCTGGTGAGCTTGAACCACTGACCTTGCAGTTCAAAGGACTGGAGTCTGATGCATTAGCCCACAGCACCACACCAGGACTCCAGCACATGGTAGGTGCTTGATAAATAAATGGCGGGAAAAAATCCCAAGACACAGTTCATTGTTCTACACCAGAAGTTGTTGTTGTTAAGTACCGTGGAGTCGGTTCCAACTCATAGTGACCCTGCACAGGGTTTCCGAGGCTGCAAATCTTTATGAGAGCAAAAAGCCTCCTCTTTCTCCTGCAGAACAGCTGGTAGTTTTGAACTGTCAACCTTGAAGTTAGCAGTCCGATTCGTAACCACTACGCTACCAGAGCTCCTTAGGGAACCTTTTTTCTGCCAAAATTCATAACATCATTTGTAGGCCATACAAAATTATCAACTTAAAAATTAACCTGCAATATTTGGTGAAACATTTCATTAACTCACCCCTAAAGTGATCGGGCTGCGAACCACAAGATTAGCAGTTTGAAACTACCAGCTGTTCCGCAGGAGAAAGATGAGGCTTTCTGCTCCCGTAAAGATTTACAGCCACAGAAACCCTGTACAGGGTGGCTATGAGTCAGAACCGACTCCACGGCACATCACCACCACCACCAATGTGATTGCTAAGGAGCCCTGGTAGCATAGTGGATTACAAGCTGGGCTGCTAACCACAGGTCAGTAGTTCGAATCTACCAGTCACTCCATGGGTGAAAGATGAGGTTTTCTGCTCCCATAAAGATTTGTAGCCTTGGAAACCCTACACAGGGTCACTGTTAGTTAGAACCAACTTGGTGGCACACAGCCGCCGCCACCACCATTGGAACCGACTCAACAGTACTTAACAACAACAATGCAGTTGTCTTGGCATATCAGACAAATGAGTTCTCAGGCCTCATACAGCCCATGGGCCAGGCGTTCCCCACCCCTGCTCTACACCTTTCCTTAGCCATTTTAACTTCCAGTTTGCAATCCTATATAGAAACTTGAGTCCCCAAGGATACAGCCAACAGCTCATTTCTGTCACTTGCACCTACTGTATGCCTTCCTTGACTCCAGGACAGGCTAGACCGCCCACGATACACACCTATGATGCCCAGTCCTCCCTCTCAGATCCCCGTTATGCATCTAGTGTTGCATCATCTGTGTGTAGTGCGTCCTGGACACTGCTATATCTCCTGCATCTAGTACAGCATCCAGACCCCCCAGTATAGCTTGACTGGTGCAGGTACTGGGGGAGGGTACTGACCTGGTGGGAGGCAAGTCCCAGGGCTGGACTGGTGAGCTCTCCCCCATCCTGAGACTTTTCCCTGGCAAGCCTTGCTGCTTCCTTTACTTCCTGGAACTTCTCTGCAAACTGGTTGAGAGGAGGGAGATGACAAAGAGTCAATCAACAAATCCTCAGTAGTCCCCTCCCTCACAGATTGACCCATCAGGCCACCCCTGCCCGACATTAGCTCTGTCACCTTTGAGTGGATCTCAGTAACTGTGCCCAACCCTTATCTATGAAAAGAAAGTGAAAATACTTGGAAATAGAGAGGCTTGGAAAAAAAGTGCCACAAAGAGCTGGGTGGGGACCATGGCACAGAATTTACATAATATACTGCTTCCCAGTTGTTTCAGACTCAAAACGACCCTACGGGACAGAGCAGAATTACTCCCTAGAGTTTCAAAGACTTAATCTTTATTGCAGCAGATAGCTTCATCTGTCTCCCAAGGAGTGGTTAGTGGATTTGAACCACCAACCTTTTGGTTAGCAGCCCAACATTTCACTGACTGTGCCACCAGGGATCCTTGGGTGTTTAAGTGTTGCTGTTAGGTACACTGAGTTGGTTCCAACTCAAAGTGAGCCTAGGCACAACAGAGCGAAACACTGCCCGGTCCTGCGCCATCCTCACAATTGTTATTTTGAGTCCACTGTATCAATTCATCTTCTTAAGAATCTTCCTCTTTTTCGATAACTCTCCACTTCACCAAGCATGATGTCCTTCTGCAGAGATTGGTCCGTCCTGACAACATGTCCAAAGTATAAGAGATGAATTCTAGCTATCCTCAAGGATCATTCCGGTTGTACTTATTCAGATTTGTTTGTTCTTCTGGCAGCCCATGGTACTTTCAATATTCTTCAACAATACCATAATTCAGATGCATCAATTATTTTCTGGTCTTCCTTATTCATTGTCCAATTTTCACATGCGTATGAGACCACTGAAAATACGAAGCACATCTTTGTCTTCAAAGTGACATCTTTGGTCTTTAATACTTTAAAGAGGTCTGCAGCAGACTTGCCTAGTACCATACGTTCTTTGATTTATTGGCTGCCAGTTCCATGAGTGTTCCTTGTGATCCAAGCAAAATAAAATTTTTGACAAATTCAATCTTTTCTCCATTTATCATGATGTTATTTATTAGTCCAGTTGTGAGGATTTTGTTTGCTTTACATTGGGGTGCAATCCACACTGAAGGCTGAAGTCTTTGATCTTCATTAACATTTCAAGTCATTCTTGCTTTCAGCAAGCAAGGTTGTATCATCTGCATATCACAGGTTGTTGATGAGTCTTCCACCAACCCTGAGGCCATGTTCTTCTTCATATAATACAGTTTCTTGGATTATTTACTCAGTATATAGGTTAAATAAGTATGGTGAAAGGATACAATCCTGACACATACCTTTTCTGATTTTTGACCATTCAGCATACTCTTATCCTGTTCTAATGATTACTTCTTGGTCTATGTACAAGTTCCTTATGAGCACAATTAAGCATTCTGGAATTCCCATTCTTTGCAATGCTATATATAGTTTGTTGTGATCCACATAGTCGAATGCCTTTGCATAGTCAATAAAGCATAAGTAAACATCTACCTGGTATTCTCTGCTTTCAGTCAAGATCCATACAACGTCAGTAATGATATCCTTATTCCACGTCCTCTTCTGAATCTAGCTTGAATTTCTGTCCATGAACTGCTACAACTGTTTTTGGATTATCTTCAAAATTTTACTTGCATGTGACATTAACGATTTAAAAAAAAAATCATTTCCCCATTCTGTACAGTCATCTTTCTGTGGAATGGGCATAAATATGGATCTCTTCCAATCAGTTGTCCATGTAGCTGTCTTCCAAATTTCTTGGCATAGATGAGTGAGCACTTCATGCACTACATCAATTTTTACATTGTTGTTATTGCTAAGTGCCATTAAGTCGGTTCTAAATCATAGCGGCCCTACATAGGGTTTCCGAGTAACAGCTAGTGAGTTTCAACTGCCAGCCTTGTTGTTAGCAGTCCAGTGCTGATCCTACTGCGCCACAATGCATCGAACCACACTGACTAGGGGGCTTGCTTTTCTTCTCAATCAGGCTTATTTTATTAGGAGAACTTCAGTTTGGTAATAGTTTGTCTTTTAAACCAGGGACACTTGTTAAGTGCCATTGAGTCAGTTTTGACTCACAGTGACCTTGTACAGGGTTTTCAAAGAGTCTCTGGTAGGTTTGAACCACAATTTTGCAGTTAGTAGTCAAGTGCTTATCCTACAGTGCCACACCAGCGCTCCTTATAAATATCCTTTTATAACAAAAAGGGAGTCCCTGCGTGGTACAAAAGGTGAATGCACTTGGCTACTAACCAAAAGGTTGAGGGGATAAGTCCACCCAGAGGCACCTTGGAAGAAAGTCCTGGTAATCTAAATCTTAAAAATCAGTCACTGAAAAAAACCTATGGAGCTAGTGAACAATTGTCAGCATGACTAATTGCAACTGTCACAATTGTAAAGGTAGAAGTTTTGTAATAAAAACGGGGGAGTAGTTAATCTTACAGTCCAGAGACAGAGGACCCTAGGTCCATCAAGGGAGAAGAGCACAAGCAGAATGCGAGACCTTATCCAGAGAAGCAGCAACACCAGAGATGGAGGCAGAGATGGGGACATGGAGAAAGGGAGCAGCTGAGGACTCTAGACTCACAGAAAGAGAGGGACTGAGAGAGCTTGCGGCCAGGAGGCAGACTTGCAGAGTGTGTCTTTTGTTGGTTTAAATCATTATATATGCCTGAGCGTTGTTTTTTTTTTTTTTAAAAAAAAGCTAAAATATAGAGAAATACTGTTAAGTGATGGTACATGGGGGGGATTATAATCATTTTAATGAAACAAAGTGTATGATTTATTGAATGTAAAACTGATGATCTGCCCAATTCATAATAAAAGCTTAAAAAAAAAAACAAAAAACCTATGGAGCACAATCCTACTCTGATGCAGTAGGGGTCACCTTGAGTCAGAAGACACTCAACAGTAACTAGTTGATAACAAAGCAAGACAGGCCTGAGGTTTCCAAATTAGTTACCCCATCTAATCTTCCTTGTACTGTTTATATTTGCCACCTCTCTATGGCTAAATCCATACTACTTTTCTAGTTAGGGTAGTGTGAGGGATTGAATTGTGTTCCCCCAAAAAGTATGTTGAAGTGCTGACCTTGGGTACCTGTGAGCGTGACCGTGTGTGGAATTAGGGTCTTTGAAGATGTTATCACTTAGTAATGGATTTTAGTGGAGTAGGATATAGTCAGGAGGGACCAGTTGCTGGAGAAGGATATCATGTTTGGTAAGGTGGAGGGTCAGAGAAAAAGAGGAACACCCCAATGAGATGGATTGGCCAAGTGGCAGCATCGATGGACTCAAGCGTGGAAACAGTAGTGAGGTTGGCCCAGGATAGGGCAGTGTTTCTTTCGTTCTGCTGTGCATAAGATCGCTATGGGTCGGTACCGACTCGATGGCACCTAACAACAACAACAACAAGAGGTTAGTTTCTAATTTAACATGCAAAAGGAGATGAGGAGGAGACACAGAGAGGGAAGACGGCCATGGAAAGGTGGAAACACAGAAACCAGAGTGTTAGTTACATCTACAAGCCAAGGAACACAGAAGATCCCTGGGAACCACCAAAAGTTATAAAGACAAGGAAGGATCCTTCCCTAGAACTTTCTGAGTGAAAGTTCATGATGAGGAGCCCTGGTGGTATCAAGGGTTAACCATGGGGCTGTGCATGACAAGGTTGGCAGTTCAAATCTTATCAGCTGCTCCTCAGAAGAAAGACGAGGATGCCTGCTCTAGGTTCACTATGGGTTGAGATCGATGTTGGCACTGGGATTATTTTTGGTTTTCTCTAATGACCCTGCTGACACCTTGAGTTTACCCTCCAGAGCTATGAGACAGTAAATTTTAAGCCACTCAATTTGTGATACTTTGTTACTGCAGGCTTAGGAAACTAATATAAATAGGCTATATGGAGTCCTAGTGTGGTGCTGCAGGATAATGTGCTGGACCGCAAGGTCAGTGTGAGCCACAAGGTCAGCAGTTCAAACCTACCAGCCACTCACTATGAGTTGGAACTGATTCGATGGCACTTACCAACAACAACATAAGTATATATATTTTTTAATTTGCTTAGGTTAAAAAGGTTAATAAGTTCTATAACAAATTCCCTTAGGTTAAAAATAATCATTTAAAGAAAATGTTAGCACACTTAGCACACATCCAGCCACCTGATTTATGCCAAGCCATCAATAGGGGGAAAAGTTGTTGTTGTTATTGTCAAGTGCCGTTGAGTCGGTCGCAATTTATAGCGACCCTGTATAGGGTTTCCAAGGAGCAGCTGGTGAGCTTGAACCGCCAACCTTGCAGTTCAACCGGCTTTATAGTTTGGCGCATTAACCCACAGCGCCACACCAGGACTCTAGGGGGAAAAGGTCTCTTCAAAAATTGGCCCAAGAACACACTGAATATTCATGTGGGGAAAAAAAATTAAAACTCCTATTCCACACCACTCACAGAAATTATCCAAGGGGCTTCTGGGTTAATCCAAATGGTTATGTGCTCTGGTGCTGAGAGGTTGGTGGTTCAAGATTACTCAGAGGCACCTCAGAAGAAAGACTTGGCAACCTAGTTCTCAAAACTTAGTTTACTGAAAACATAATGGAGCACCGTTCTATTCCAACACACATGAGGTTGCAATGAATTAGGGTGACTGCTATGGCAACTGGTTTTTGGTGTGTGTTTTTTTAATTGGAAAAGAAAACAAGAAAGCTTCTAGAAGAAAAGAGAGGAGAACGTTTTCCTGACTTCAAGCAGGCCACCAAGCATTGAAGAAAACAAGGGGCAAAGACCAAACGGAAATACTGAAATAACAGGAAGTGGAGCGAGGCAATGCAGAAAGAGCACCCAGCTCATCCATGTCCCCGTTTAATAGGTGGGATCCAAAGGGGCAGAGCATGTCCCAAATCAGAGCCAATGGGCAAAAGCTGGGATTCCAACCAGGGAAGTTGTCAAAAACCTCCAAACCTATTGCTGCAGAGGTAACTTTGACTCATGTTGTTGTTGTTAAGTGCTGTTGAGTCGATTCTGACCCATAGCGACCCGGTAGAGAGAGGGTTACCAAGGAGCAGCTGGTGAGCTTGAACCACCGACTTTGCAGTTCAAACAACTTTGCAGTCTAACGCATTAGCCCACAGCGCCATACCAGGACTCCAACTTTGACTCATGGTGACCCCTATATAACTGCTCTATAGGGTTTTCTTGGCTGTATTCATTGTGGTGCAGTGGGTTAAGCATTTAGGCTGCTAATCATAAGGTAGGTGGTTCAAGCCCACCAACCATTCCTTGGGCAAGAAATGAGGCTGTCTGCTCCTATAAAGATTCACAGCCTTGGAAAGCCTAGGGAGCAGTTTCACAGGGTCACTGTGAGTTGGCATTGACTTGATGCCACTGGGTTTTTTGTTTTAATTGTTACAGAAGCAGATCACCAGATCTTTCTTCAGGGCACCATTGGGTGGGTTTAAACTGCCAAACTTTCTGTTAGTGTTGTTGTTGTTGTTGTGTAATTGCTATTGTTGTTGTTGTATACCGTCAGTTGAGTCTAACTCATAGCAACCTTGGTAAACAGAGAAGAACTGCCCCATAGGGTGTCCTAGGTCAGCATCTATGGGAGCCAACTACCAGCCCTTCTTCCGCAGAGTTGATCAGGAGGCTCGTACCACTGACCTTTCAGTTAGCAGCCAAGCGCTTAATCAGTGTGCCTCTAGAGCTAGTCAGGTGCAAAAATGTGTACCACCTAGGCACCTGGAAAACTTTCAGGCTGGTCCAATTCTATAGTCCATTCGGAACTTTCCAAAGTACCCAGTTCACCAAGGAGAAGCCCTAGGCCCAGGCCTGTCCTTGCAACCCGCCTGGCAGACCTACCTGTGTCAGATGCTGCTCAGAGGCAAAGCCAAGGCCATAGACAGTGTTGGCACGACTGTCCGCCCACTGCCCGAACTTCTGGGAGGTTTTGGTGAAGGTCATGTTGGGGGTGACAGTGCTGTTGATGATGGCCTAGGGAGCAAAGATTAAGGGACTGATAACAATGAACATAAAACACATTGAGCATCACTTTGGAGGAGGACTTAGAGGCCTTATTCAGCCATTTCAGGAGGGGAGAGATGGTAGCCCAGGAGGGCGTAGGCCGCCCCTGGCTGAGAGCACACAGCAGGGGTCTCTCATGCCCGCTCAACCTCCAGATCCCACCATACCTTAGCACCTCCAATGCTGATGATGCGGTAGACGTTTCGGGTGGCATCGTAGAAGTAGGAGACGGTGAGGGCATGCTTGCCCGCAGGGATCCAGTTACGCTTGGTGGCCGGGTCAATCTGGAATACATGCGCTCGTGTGCTGAAGATGGGTTGCTCCCTGGGGGGTAGAGGGCGCTCAGCAGGCGAGGCACTGCCCAGGGGCAAGGCTGGAGTGGCAGGTTGAGGGGGGAATGCTCACCTGGCTGTGGACATTGGTCAGGCTGGGCTGGGCAGGCTCCAAGGGGCAGCCAGGGTGGGCAGGAGCTATTGGTTCAAAGGGTTAAATGCTGTACTGCAAACCAAAAATATTGGCAGTTCAAATCTATCCAGATATGTCTCAGGAACAAGGTGTGACGATCAACTTCCTGGTGTGGCACTGTAGGATAAGCACTGGACCGCAAGGTTGGTTTGAACTGCAAGGCCGGCAGTTCTAACTTACCAGCTTCTCCTTGGAAACCTTATGCAGGGTCAGTATGAACCAACTCAATGGCATTAACTTCAAGGTCACAGCCTTGAAAACGCTTTGGACCACAGTTCTACTCTGCACACATGTGGTCACCATGGGCCAGAATCAACATCACAGCAGCTAACAGCAATAAGAAACCCATCTCAAGGAACTCCACAACACGTGAGGCCAGAGACCCCACTCCAGGGAAGTTAGACGCAATGGGGTCTGAAGGGCCAGGGGAGCTGAGCAGGTCTCTCAGGATCCCTGGCATCCCAGTATGAACCTCCTACCATCCTGGTCACTGGAAATGTCCCCGAGTCCCTGCAATCATGGACTAAAGGGACACTACTTTCTGCCAGATTCACTTAGTACACCTTAAACCAGGACATGGCAGAAAAAAGTGGGGCATGCCCAAATTCAGACTGGAAAGCCAGATCCTGCTGGACCCAGGAGGGACACCCAGGTCTGACCCTGGAGCATTGTCCAAATCCTGAGAGAGAGTTAGGTCAGGTTGTAGTCTTAATGGTTCATCCTGTACAGGTTCGCTATGAGTGGGAACCAACTCCGAGCCGCTTAACAAGCAACAAGGAGCAGGGTGGGCTCCAGATAAAGGGAACCTGGCTCCCCAGTCTCGGTGGGTTCCTCTAGCCACCACCCTACAGAAACCAAGACCAGGAATCTGGCAGGAGACCTTCAAGGACCCTCCCCTTGCATCCAGAGGGTCTATGGAGACTCAAGAGAGGCCAGGGAAAGGGGACGCAAGTGGGGAGGGGAACCTAACTCAGCGGCCTCTCAGGTCAGAGGGGGTGCCCCCCCACACACACACACCCGTCCTGGGCAGCTGCTGTCCCTGTCACAGGTCTGAAACCCGAACCCCTCCGCTGGGGGAGGGGCGACCTCTCTGGTCTGGTCTGGGGGCGGGTCCTGGGCCCGGCCGAAGCGTCTGTGTGTGTGTGTGGGGGGGGGGGGTTACGCTGGGGTCCCCGAAACTCAGGCCCTTACGACCCAGCAGCTCCTGCCATGACTTGAGGCTTTCGGGCAAAGTTACTCACCACCCAGTCATGAGTCTCGGACGCCGCCGGCCTGAGCGGGACTCCCAAAGGGGCCCGACCCTGCCCAGTGCCCAGGGATCCCAATCCCCGCGCGCCCTAGTTCAGAAGACTAAAATTCAGCTAGGACCCGGGTCCCAACTCATGATAGGAGTGGGGTGCCCCGTGTACGCCCCAACTTCAGGAACGCACAGACCCTGGAACTTCGGGGATCCCCGAAGCAACTAGCTACAGCCCCGCTAGTCTGAGTCCAGAACTTCGGAAACATCGGCCAGTCGGTGACCTGGAGTCCGGAACTTCAGGGACCCTCCCACGCTGTCCCCAGATTTCGAATCCGGAACTTCGGGGACCACAACGTTGCGCCCCTCGATTCCGGGTCTGAAATAAGCCCGGTTCGCTATCCGCAACTTCCGAATTTGAGGTCGCTCTTCACTCCCCCTCGACCTAGGACTTTGGGGACACCCCGCGCCACCCCTTGCCCCGAAACTGCAGGATCCCTCTCCCCGACCCCGGTCGGTCGCGCAAGGCTCACCCTGCCGGATCGACCGCGAGTGTCCCGGCGCGAGTCGGGTGCGGCCCCGCGGCGCCAACTCCGCGCAGGGCCGGCAAGGCGCCGCTGCCTCG